ATAGCTGAGGATTTCAACTCTTCCCTCTCAGTAAAAGACAGAACTGTTGTTGCTGTTAGGTGCCGTCGAATCCTTGACAACTTCAATCTTTTCTCCATTTATCATGATGTTGCTTATTGGTCCAGTTGGGAGGATTTTTGTGTTCTTTATGTTGAGATGTAATTCATAGTGAAAGCTGTAGTCTTTGATCTTCATCAGTAAGTGCTTCAAATCCTCTTCACTTTCAGCAAGCAAGGTTGTGTCATCTGCATATCTCAAGTTGTTAGTAAGTCTTCCTCCAATTCTGATGCCGTGTTCTTCTTCATCTAGTCCAGCTTCTGGGATTATGTGCTCAGCATACAGATTGAATAGGTATGGTGAAAAGATACAACCCTGACACACACCTTTCTTGACTTTAAACCATGCAGTAACCCCTTTTTCTGTTCGAAAGACTGCCTCTTGGTCCATGTACGGATTCCACATGAGCACAGTTAAGTGTTCTGGAATTCTTATTTTTCGCAATGTCACCCATAATTTGTTATGATCTGCACAGTCCAATACTTTATATAGTCAATAAAACACCGATAGACATCTTTCTGGTATTATCTGCTTTCAGCCAAGATTTATCTGACATCAGCAATGATATGCCTCCTTCAAAGTCTTCTTTTGAATCCAGCGTAAAGATCGCTATCCTAGGCATTAGTGAGCTGAAATGGACTGGTATTGGCCATTTTCAATTAGACAATTATATAGTCTACTATGCCAGGAATGACCAATTGAAGAGGAATGACGTCGCATTATCGTTAAAAAGAACATTTCAACATCTATCGTGAAGTACAGTGCTGTTAGTGATAGCATAATATGCATAAGCCTACAAGGAAGACCAGTTAATATTACTCTTATTCAAATTTACATGACAATCACTACTGCTGAAGATGAGGAAACTGAAGATTTTTCCAACTTCTGCAGTCTGAAATTGATGCAATCAACATGCATTGATAATTACTGGTGATTGGAATGTGAAAGTTGGAAACAAAGAAGGATCAGTAGTTGGAATTTATGGCCTTGGTAATGGAAATGGTGCCAGAGATTGCATGATAGAATTTTGCAAGATCAAAGACTTATTCATTGCAAATACCTTTTTTCAACGACATAAATGGCAACTATACACATGGACCTTATGGAAAATACAGGAATCAAATCAAGTACATCTGTGAAAAGGGATGATGGAGAAGCTCTATATCATCTGTCAGAACAAGGCCAGGGGCCAACTGTGGAACAGACCATCAATTGCTTATATTTAAGTTCAAGTTGAAGCTGAAGAAAATTAAAACAAGTCCACAAGAGCCAAAATACAGCCTTGAGTATATCCCACCTGAATTTGCAGACAATGTGAAGAATAGATTTGATGCCTTGAACACCAGTGACGAAGACCAAATGAGTTGCGGGATGACATCAAAAACATTATTTGTGAAGAAACGCAAAGGTCACTAAAAAGACAAGAAAGAAAGAAAAGACCAAAATGCATGTCTGAAGAGACTCTGAAACTTGCTCTTGAATGTAGAGTAGCTAAACTGAATGGAAGAAATGATTAAGTAAAAGAGCTGAACAGAAGATTTCAAAGGGTGGCTCGAGAAGACAAAGGAAAGTATTATAATGAAATGTAGTTAGAAAACCAAAAGCGCAGAAGAGCCTCAGCATATCTCAAGCTGAAAGATCTACAGAAAAAATTCAAGCCTCAAGTTGCAATTTTGAAGAAGTCTATGGGCAAAATATTGAACAATGCAGGAAGCATCAAAAGAAGATGGAAGGAATACAAAGAGCCACTATACCAAAAATAATTGGTTGACGTATTGATAACCGTCAGGAGGTAGTATACGATCAAGAACTGATGCTACTAAGGGAAGAAGTCCAAGCTACACTGAAGGCATTGGTGAAAAACAAGTCTCTACGAACTGATAGAATATCAGCTGAGATGTTTCAGGAAACAGATGCAACACCACAAGTGCTCACTCATCTATACCAAGAAATTTGGAAGACAGCTACCTGGCCAACTGACTGGAAGAGATCCATCTTTGTGCCTATTCCAAAGAAAAGTGATCCAACAGAATGCGGAAATTGTCCAACTATATCATTAGTATCACACTCAAGTAAAATTTTTCTGAAATTAATTAAAAAACGGTTGTAGCAATACTTTGACAGGGTACAGCCAGAAATTCAAGCCAGATTCAGAAGACGATATGGAATGAGGGATATCCAACTCAGAGAATCTACTATATGTTTATTACCATGATGTTTTTGTTGCTAGCTTCTGTGGAGTTGGCCCTTACTCATGGTGACCCCATGCACAACAGAACCAGGCCTGGGTCAACCCCATGATAGGTTGCAGATTGCACTGCTGTGATCCATAGAGTTTTCACTGTCTGTTTTTCAGATGTAGATCACCAGACCTTTCTTCCTAGTCCTTCTTAGTCTGGAAGATCCTCTGATGCTATGTTCAGCATCATAACAACACACAAGTCTTCACTGATGGATGGGTGGTGGGTGTGTATGAGGCATATTGGCTGGGAATCGAACTTAGGTCTCCTGCATGGAAGGCGAAAATTCTACCAGTAATCCACCATTACCATGAAAGATACAAAGACATATACTTCATTCCATTCCTTCTATGAGTTTAATGGAGGCGACAACATAGCTATTTATAGATAAGCCAAATAGAAAGCAATTTAATGTACTTCACCCTATACTTAAACAAGTAAAGGGCTTTGGTGAGTAACGGAACCATTAGTGTAATTCTTGGTAGTAATTTCAACTTTGTATCAAGTGAGATGAATAAAGTGTCTAAGTAACTTATAAAGAGATACCGTCAAATTTCAAATTTTAAAAGCTGCAAAGCATATTACAAGCAGTTTAGCAATGTATGCAAAACAAATATGTTTACTTGGGAAAGGTCAAAGCTCTTATATTTTTTCCAACAAATTTTGCACTTTTTAATTTACTAGGATATTGAGTAATTTAAAAAAATAGCATAACACATCAGAAGTCATCTGATTAAATAATGCCTTTATTAGTACCCAAAACCCGTTACTGTTGAGTCGATTCTGACTCATAGCGACTGTCATGGATTGAATTATGTCCCCCAAAAAATGTGTGTATCAACTTGGGTGGGCCATGATTCCCAATATTGTGTGGTTGTCCTCAATTTTGTGGTTGTAATTTTATGTTAAAGAGGATTAGGCTGGGATTGTAGCACCCTTACTGAGGTCGCATCCCTGATCCAATGTAAAGGGAGTTTCCCTGGGGTGTGGCCTGCACCACCTTTTATCTTACAAGAGATAAAACGAAAGAGAAGCAAACAGAGAGTTGGGGACCTCATACCAAGAAAGCAGTGCTGGGAGCAGAGCGCGTCGTTTGGACCCAGGATCCCTGCTCGGAGAAGGTTAGTCCGGGGGAAGATTGATGAGAAGGCTGACAGAGAGAGAAAGCCTTCCCCTGGCACTGATGCCCTGAATTTGGACTTCTAGCCTACTATACTGTGAGAAAATAAGTTTCTCTTTGTTAAAACCATCCACTTGTGGTATTTCTGTTACAGCAGCACTAGATGACTAAGACAGGGACCCTATAGAGCAGAGTAAAACTGCCCCATAGGGTTTCCAAAGAGCAGCTGGCGGATTCAAACTGCCAACCTTTTGGTGAGCAGGCGAGCACTTAACCACGGTGTCACCAGGGCTTCTTTATTGGTACAGGAGTTATAAAGGCTTAAAAAGATAGAAAGGATTGTGATGAAAAATATTTGAAGTAGATAGCTGTCATAACTGGGTTTTGTTCTTAAGGTAATCAAATCAATCAATTGCCATGATAAAATAAACGAGCCTTATTGATTCCACTAGATATTTGATGAGCCATCTACTTTACTTGAGTTTCATTCTAAAGCGTTCCTGATGACTACAATCTGCAAATCCGAAGCAATATTTTGCGGTTGAGAAATATCCAACTACACAGCTATGCTAAAACTTGTATGAAGACCTCTTACAAATCATAATTAAAAACATTTGAGAAGTCTACATAAAAGGCAAGAAGAGTATTAACACAACAATGTTCTAAATGCAAGTCATGCCTAATTTTCTCTAGACTAGTGATTTTCAAACTACTTTTTTAGCAGCACATTTTGTAATAAAATCTTACAGAAGACTCTGATACAGAAAACAGGTAAAAGTTCAGCCATTTTGGTAGGAGAAGGAGGAAGAGTAAAGTTAACTGCTCCCTCTCCCAATTCCTCACCAAAGCTGGATTCCCAAGACTCCTTGGCTGCACTCCATCACTCTGGAAGACCCAATGACAGAACTTTATTTATGGACCCATCATCATGAGTTTATGACATGATTCTCTCAATTTATAGCAAGTTAGCTCCACAGATATCATATAATTCTGAGCTGAAATGTGTGGTGTTGAGAGTTACAAGTTGTGGAACTCAGGACCTAGTGGTAATGATTTTAGAACTAAGGGATCTATCAAAAGCAGAGGGCAGAGGTGAAGAGATAGTCCTGGTGGTCTTGATTTCAGCTGTTTCTGAAATCCAACTGCCCATCTTCCTTCCCCATAGGCTGGTTGTTTAAACCTTCTTTCAGACACCTTTTATTATTATTTTTTTACTTAAAGCGAGTACAAGCTGCTTTCTGTCTTTTGCAATCAATAGTCCAGACTACTACGAATACCACAACCATGGTTATGTTTATTTTTTTATTCCGCTAACATTTTGTAGAAACTGTGCCACATGAGACGATATAAAAGTGAACAAGACAAAGTCTCTGCTATTGTGGGAATGATAATTCAGTGAGTGAATCTGGAATGTTAAACGATAATTCCCATGCAAAAAAACTTTCAGTTTTATGGCTATATATGCTTCTCTACGGTCAATGATTCTATAAGTCATTCTGGCGAAAAAGTCGGTAAAGCGAGATAAACTTAGTATTTGGTATTAAAATTACTTTATTTTTAATTTATTTAATTTCACTGACAAGGGAGATAGCCTCACTGATCATTCCCTGAAGGAAAAATCAACTTCTGGGAGAAGTAGAGAAATTGAAGATTATTCACAGGATATATCTTACTTAGAAGAACTGGAGGAACATGGATTTTCAGTTTCGTAAGTGACTATATCCTGTCTTTTCATTTTCAAATTTCATTTAATTGAATTCGTTCGACTTTATTCATTCTATTATTTTATTATTAATTCATTTGATAACTAGGAATTGCATGACTATTATATGCTGCACAGTGTGTGTCTCGACTTGGGAGATTTCATAGTTCAATAAGGAATATGGACATTAAAAAAATCAGTGTTCTGCGATAACGTTATCTTTTTAAGAAAAGCAAAAAATGGAGGAAAATGAGAGATAAAGTTGCTTGAAAATAAAAAAGAATTCTCATAAAAAGTGAGATTTAGGCTAAATCTTGACAAAGAAGTTGGTTAGGGGTAGGCTACAGTGGAAAAATGGTGAATAATTTGGTGTGGGCAGTGTTCAGAGGTGGAATTGGAAGGGAAGCTGGGGTTGATATATGCCGTAACCCTTAGTTCACGTAAGAGCCAAACAGATCATACTTATTGCTCTGTCTGACTGTGTGTATATGTATCTGTCTGTGCAAGCACACGTAAAACACGCACAAAAAAATACATAAAATTGTGAGCACTGAAGCTTCTCAGAGGTACCACATACAGGCTTTTGAAATGGCAGCATTTGTCAAGGGTAGTGGGATGGAACAACGGTGGTTGTGTGACACAGACAATAACCTAGGGGAGGAGAGATGGGGGAGCTAGTCACCGTCATCTATTTCTACCCACTGCCTCTATGCCCACCTCAAGATTCATGCCCTGAATGATTTACCCCTGGTATTTATCTGCCCTATGACTTGATTCTCAAAGAGTTTGCTCTTATGCTTCCATCCTGGAACCTCCATCTGGAGGACACAGTATCAGCTCAAATTCCTTTATCCAATCATATTTTTACAACTATCACTCTTCTTCACTTAAACCTAGAAGTTTAAATACTTTAATGTCTCCCTGAGTCAGCTGGAATGCTGTGCCCAGGCTAAACAGTGAGTTGTTGTCTGGATCAAGAGAAGTAGTCTCGTGACTTAGAAGTATCAGGCAGGAAGGAATGCCAAATGGCTCAGAAGACAAGAAACATTCGTGCCTCTTCTAGAAAGAAAAAAAATATACAACAAATGCTATTTTCAGATAAAAAATTGACATGCTCTCTATTCTTAAGAAATTCTCTGTGTGTGAGTCTTTGAGAGGGAAAGTGACATGTGTGCATTAAATTTAGTTCAGTGAAATGCCTTATCAGCATAGAGGTACCAGCTGCTTATTATGGAATGCAGATGAGAGAGCTTGCAATTCTTCTGGGCTGTGGGCTTAGTTTTGATTCCTATTTGAGGTTCACGTGGACTGGAGAACAAACTTGATTAATCTCAGATTTCCAGCTCCTCCACTTGTCTCTGTTACCTTTCCAGGCTTTCTCTGATGACTCACCTCTCTGTTGGCCTATAAGAATGGCTTTTTAGAGTCCAATGTATGCAATTTTACAGTGTCATTATTATTTTACACAGAGAGTTAAAAGGACTGATGGTTTCAAAGGGTTTCAGAGCTTCAGTGTCTGATAGATTGATCCTTTAAGAAGCTACTCTTTAGGCATTACTCTTTAGCAGACCTTCTCTTATGCTCTAAGTCTAGAACAAGGATTGGCCAGCTACAACTCCTGGGCCAAATCCTGAATTCTGCCTGTTTTTGTCAATAAGATTTTATTAAAACGCAGCCTCACCCATTTGATTATGTATTATGAAGACTGTTCTGCCCTAAGTGGCAGAATTCAGTAGTTGAGACAGAGACAGCATGACCCACAAAGTCCAAAATATTGACTATTTGTTTTTTTACTAAAAAATTTTTCCTACTCCTGCTCCACCCCAACTTAGATGCTCCTCTGTTCTGCTCTTATGTCTCTCAGTCACATTATTTAAACAAAAAATGTTTACATGCTTGTCTTCCTGATCAGGCTGGGCTTGTTACGTGTTTTGGTTATCTATTGCTGCATGCCAAGTCGCAGAAGACTTAGTGGTTTAAAACAACAATTATTTATTTGTTCACAGCTCTGTGGGTTGGGAATTCAGGCAGAGCATATCATGGAAGGCTTATTTCTGTTCTAGCCTGCTTGGAGCTTCTGCTGCAGTGGTTCAAGTTGCTGGCATCTGGCTGATATGTCCCAGCTGGGGCCATATGCCTGGGGCCCTGATTCTTGCTCTCAACTCAGATCTTCACTTCTCCACGTGGGCCTCACTCCATCAGTGCTTGGGCTTCCTCACAGCATGGTGGCTGAGCTCCAGGTAGCATCTTTGCAAGCAGAGAAGGAAGAACTTGCAGATCTCTTATGGTCAAGCCTTAAAAACTACACAGTGACTTCCACCGTATTCTATTGGTCAAAATAAGTCACAAGCCAGTCCAGATTCAAGGGGAGGAAAAATACAGTTTCCCTCTGTGATGAGAAAGTGGCAAGGACAAACTGTAAAAGAACATGTTGGGGTAGAAGATATTCTGTGACCATTTTGGAAAGACAAATGACCACATTTTGTTTCATTTATCTGTATGTGCACAGCTCTGTTGTTGTGTGCTGTCGAGTAGATTCTGATTCATAGGGACCCTATAGGACGGAGTAGAACTGCCCCATAAGTTTTCCTAGGCTGACGTCTTTACAAGAGTAGATCACCAGGTCGTTTCTCCCAAGAAGTGGCTGGTGACTTCGAACCACTGACCTTGTGGCTAGCAGTCAAGAACTTAACCATCGCACCACCAGAGCTTCTTGCTCTGAGCATGTTGTTATCAGGTGCTGTTGAGTTGGAAACCCTATATACAACAGAACAAAACACTGCCTGGTCCTGCGCCATCCTCACAATTGTTGCTATGTTTGAGCCCATTGTCGCAGCCACTGTTTCAATTCATCTTGTTGAGGATCTTCCACTTTTTCACTGACCCTCTACTTTGCCAAGCATGATGTTCTTTTCCAGGGACTAGTCCATCCTGATAATATGTCCAAAGTACTTGAGACAAAGTCTCACCATTCTCACTTCTAAGGAACATTCTGGCTGTGCTTCTTCCAAGACAGCTGTTGTTTGTTCTTCTGGCAGTCCACAGTATATTCAATATTCTTCACCAACACCATAAACCAAAGGCATCAATTCTTCAGTCTTCCTTATTCATGGTCCAGCTTTCACATACGTATGAGGTGATTGAAAATACCATGGCTTGAGTCAGACACATCTTAGTCCTCAAAGTGACATCTTTGCTTTTTAACACTTGAAAGCGGTCTTTTGCTGCAGATTTGCCCAATGCAATACACCATCTGATTTCTTGACTGCTGCTTCCATGGGCATTGATTGTGGATCCAAGTAAAATGAAATCCTTGATAACTTTAATCTTTTCTCCATTTATCATGATATTGCTTATTGGTCCAGTTGTGAGGATTTTTGTTTTCTTTATGTTGAGGTATAGGGTTCAACAAATATTTGAATAAATATTTGAAATATTTAAATACATATTTGTTGAACTATAAAAAAACAAGCACAAATTCAAATGAAAAGGCACAGCCTTTGTGAATAGGTAGACCTTAAAATGAATTCCAGTTCTCCAACTGATTATCCGTGTGACCTTAATCAATTTGTTTAAACTCTCTGAGACTGTTTTCTCCTGTGTCAACCTGGAATAATTTTACCTGTATCATGGGATTATAAGGTTATTATGAAATTTGAGAGAGAGTACATATATAAGGTATCCTGTACAGTGACTGGAATGTATAGATTCTTAATAAAGCAACAATTATTAGTAATAATATGTAACAATTACAAATATGAAAAAAATAATGTCAATATGATCAATACAGCAATCAATAATAATTATTAATAATATAATTAATATTAACAACATAATACATTTACTAATATTAATATGATAAACAGTAACAGCAGCAACTTAACTAAAGTTAATAAAAATAAATTAATATTGATAATAAAATTAATAATTATTACTATTATTTGTTGGAAGTATCTCTTTCAAAGGTAAAAAGGGAGGTACTTTTCATACCTGCCTTCCTTTCTGTTCTTCAGGCACACATCAGAGCCTTTGCACTGAATGCGTCATTTTTCTAGAATGTTCTCCCACTTCTCAGCCATGTGTTTAGCTGTACATATTTTAAGTTATACCTCCCTAAAGATGACTTTCTTGTCTGTTCTACCTAAAGTGGTACCCACCCCCACTCTGGTTAGTTACTTTATCATTATTTTGCTTGTTTTCTTTAGAGTGCTTATCACAGTTGAAAGTGATCTTGTGTATTTATTTCATTTAATGCTTCATTTCTGTTTCCTCTCACTAACCAAAAGTTGTATGCAGGCAGGAACTTCACTTGTTTGGTCACTCCTGAGTCTCCAAGCCCTAGCTCTAGAGCACCTGGTGCCTGTAAATCCTTACTGGATGAGTGAATAAATGCATGAATGAGTCCTCATTTGGCTTCTCTGTCTCTTTCCCGATCCCCTTGGCTCCCATTCCTATTTCTTGACTTCCAATCTCTCCTTTTCTTGAAATTGCTACCATTTAAAAAAAAAAAGTAATATGGGATAATTGACCACTATAAATATTTCTTTTTAAAACAGGATTGAGGATATAGGGGCTTCTGAGACCTCTATAAACTCCTGTTTTAAATGGTCTGAGATACAATCAGAACAATTTCCTTGATGTTTTACTAGAGCTGGTAAATCATTTATTGGGGCAGCTTTTACCTAAATCCTCTTCAATTCCCCATAAAATACATTTAACACAGAATACTGTACTAGCCAACTTCAAAGTTATATATGATGCTGTGTGGGAAGTATTTGCTCCAGTGAAGCAAGTTTAAATGTATCTATTTTCTTTTTCTTATATGTTTTATTGTACACCCAGACTCACTCTGTGTGCCTCACTGGAACACGCTGATTTGGGTAAATCTGGTAGATTGTTAAAGCTTCAGTAAGCCATTTTTTTTTTTAAACATATAGGACCTTAACTAGTCAAATGCAAGCTTATCTGATTTGTTATTATTGTCTTTAGTTGCTGTCCAGTTGGCC